CTCTCTCTCTCTCTCTCTCTCTCTCTCTCTCTCTCTCTCTCTCTCTCCACCCAACCTTTGCCCTCCACCCACCCGATTTCTCTCTGCCGCGTTTCCCATTCATCCCAGCCTCCTCCCGACCTTCTCCTCCTCCTCAACCTTCCTCCTCCTCCCTCCCCTCTTTTCTTTCACCCAATATCCGCCTGACTTATCTCTCCCCCGACCTCCTCCCTCCCCTTATGCCAATCTCACACTCCGCCTGACCTCCTCGATCCCCACACCACCTCCCCCCCATTGCATCCTCCAGGACACCGACCCAGCCTACTCCCTCCATCCCTGACTCCACCCGACCTCATGCCCCCCTCGATTTGGCTTCCTTTCGTTCTTAACGCCACATATAAGAGGTGCATTTCGTCTTTTTTTCTTTCCGTGGACGTAAACGCTGCATTTCTTATCAAGATCACAAAAAGGGTGCACAGGTGTAAGAAAGAGAGGGAGAGAGAGAGACGGACACACATTTCACCTAACACTCTTGGAAGCTCTTTCTTCCTCTTCACGCACTTCCTTCCGGGCACCTTCTCCTTTGTCCGTCTCGTCCACCAGCCAAAGTTCGTCTCCCTCCTCCTCAAGTTCTTCCTGCTCAACATTCTCCTCTCGCTGTCGACCCGCAACAGGTATTTCAAGCCATCGACATTTCTTTCCACAGTTCACGCTCTTCCCCCCTGTCCCCTACGCCCACCACAGCACGTCAGTCTTCTCTCTCTCTCTCTCTCTCTCTCTCTCTCTCTCTCTTGCTTTTGCGCGCGCGCGCACACTCGAGCGTGAGCGTGTGCATGCTCACCCTTTTTCAGATCGACCAACGAAATCTGGTGTTTACGTAACTTGGGAAAAGGATTAGCAACAACCTGCACTCTCTAGATCATGCACAAAGCAGGGAGGGACGAAGGGCGTGACGGAGGGGGGAGAACCGAGAGATAGGACGGAGGGAGGTCTGGAAGGGGGAGGAAGGACAGAGGTCCGAGCCCCAGGGAGAAAGTCGCGCGGCAGAGGGAGAAGCACCGAGGAAGGGAAGGAGAGGCGGAGGAGGATAGGCCGAAAGACAGGGAGGTAATGGTCCCTATGGTACTCTCTCTCTCTGTGTGAACCGATCCCCCTCCCCCACAGTGCCCACCCTCCTGCCAAACTGCGCCATCTCTCCTTCCCCATTTCACCGCCGCTCCTTCGTCTTCCTCATGCTCTTTCTCCTCACGCTCCCATTCCTGCTCTCTCTCTCTCTCTCTCTCTCTCTCTCTCTCTCTCTCTCTCTCTCTCTCTCTCTCTCTCTCTC